CAGCGTGACTTATTCGTCACTCGAATGCAAGCTTTTGGCCGAGTCGATGGGCACAATACCAACTGCACCCACAGACTCTCCACACACGTATGCGTGAATCGCCTGCGAGGAACAGGAGTATATCGACCCAGCACAGCAGAATCAAGGAGTCCATCCACCTGTGTCTCTGGGCAAGTACTGGTGACCTTTGGTCGGCGATTAATTCCCCTATCCGCCACCTGGGGACGCCCTACGTAGCCTCGTCACTAATCGGCTAGGGATCCTTCAGTGAGAGAGAACCCTCAGTGAAGGAGATCCGTAGTTGTTCGACATAATCAATAAAAAGGAGAAATATGTCTCAGCTCGGAATTTACTCACCAAACAGTTGCCGCGAGCGCTTTTAGGAAATTATGGGAACTATAAAAATCGGAACACACTTATTTTATGTCATCGTAGACGATTTTGTCGCTGAATGGATCTAAGTGAAAAATAAAGCGTACCAATCCATCATACCGATCAATTTCACGTGTTGTGAAGTGCAGATTGGAAGCCTCTTCAGGTGTGATATTCGGAATCCAGAAACCAGACATGCTGTCCTCGAATCAGTTAGATCACACCGTTTTCAATTTTCACTCTAGTTTCCCAATTATTGAAATGCTGAACAAGCCCTAGATCTGTCCTGGGCAGGTTTCTGGGCAAACATTCATTTGATGATAAATAAGCTTGGGTAAGAGGATTACATTTTTCTCCACAACTACGTCACATATATCGATCGACCTATTGATATTTTAGTAGAAGGAGGGGCCCTCTGAAAGTACAGGATTACATTACATTAAAGTTAAATCAGTCGGTCTATAGTAAAGGTAATTTTTGAAAGAGATAGACGCCGTTTGATTTTTATGGCTCATTTTTAGAAATATAAATGAACTACCATCACCTCAAGACAAACATACACACATATCCATTATCGAACAACACATACTCGATGAAAATTTTGAAAACAACTTAATGATACTCTCTACGTGAACAACGTTCTCCTTACAGACGATTCCACACACTCAATCATTAATAAACATCAAATGTCCAAACGACGGCATTTGTAATATGTCAATTAAACCCTCATATATGTTGACCAGTGAACCAGTCAAAATCCTTGAAATTCCATGGAATCGTCAAGAGTATTAGTTCTTGATCAAGTGCAAACTTAAATCCTGCCCAGCCCTTACGAAACGTAAAGTATTACAAGTAGCAAACTCCACTCTCGATTTCGTGGGGATTCTCATCCCTTACTTCTGCCTGTAAAACTCTTTCTTGAAGACCTATGGGTGGTCACTAGTATGGTGAGGTTGCCCGC